GAGAAATCTATTGGTAGTCTAATACATATTTCTTTATATGTAACTTGATGCCTTTTTTCTCTTGCTGTTTTTAGAATTCTTTCTTTGTGTTTGACTTTTGACAATTGGACTATAATATGCCTTGGAAGGGAGCTGCTTGAGTTGAATCTATTTGCAGTTCTTTGAGCTTCCTTGATGTAGATGTTCTTCTCTCTCCCACAGCTTGGGAAGTCTTCAGCGATTATACTAATTTAGCAAATAAGTTTTTACACCTTTTCCATACTCTTCTCCTTCTGTAACACCCATAATATAAATATCTGTTTACTTATTGATGTCTTACAAATCCTGTACATTTTCTTTTTTCCTTTTTATTTTTGTATGCCTGTGTTATTTCAAAAGACTGTCCCCAAATTCAGAAATTCTTTCCTTTGCTTGGTTTAGTCTGTTGTTGAAACTCTTGATTGTATTTAGGCATTTTATTTATTGAATTCTTCAGCTCTAGGATTTCTGTTAAAAAAAATTTATCCCATTGTTGAATTTCTCATTCAATGTATGAATTGTTTTCCTGATTTTGTTTAATTGTATATATTCTCTTATATTTCAATGAATTTCCTTAAGATTACCATGTTGAATTCCTTTTCTGACTTTTTGTATATTTTCTTATGATTGGGATCTGTTACTGAAAAATTACTGTGTTCATTTGGAGGTGTCATTTTTTTCTTTGTTTCTGTTTTATATATTATTACAAATGGGAGAAATTGGCTAAAACAAAGGGACCACAGGCTCCATGTAAGTACAAAACCCAGCGGGGCAGTCATTATATATATATATATATATATATATATATATATATATATATATATATATATTTTTTTTTTTTTTTTTTTTTAGAAAGAGAAAGAGAAAAGGGGGAGAGAGAACGGGAGTCTTGCTCTATTGCCCAGGCTGGAATGCAATCTAAAAGTAGGTATTAAAAACCTCTTTTATGCCGAAAATTGTGCTTAACAGCAGAGACAGCAAGGAATAAGGAAAGAAAATAAACAAACAGCCAACCAATATTTCATTTAAATCTGTGAAATGCTGTGCAAATGCTGAAGAGTGATTTGCTTCCATTTACATGGTCACTTTCAAAATAGGTGTAATGCAATACTAAAAAAAAGTATGTTCTGTGGACCTGGGGTGAATAATTCTATAAATATTCACTGAGTTTACTTGTTCCAGGTCTGAGTTCAAATGATAAATGTCCCTGTTAATTTTCTATCTCATTGATCCATCGAATATTAACAATGTGGTGTCAAAGTCTCCTGCTATTATTGTGCAGTAGTCCAAGTCTCTTTATAAGTCATTGAAAACTTGTCTTATGTATCTGGGTGCTCTTATATTGGGCGCATATATATTTATGATCATTGACTCTTATGCTTGCATAGATCCTTTTATCATTATGTACTGTCCTTCTTTGTTTCTTTTAGTCTTTGTTACTATTAAAGTCTATTTTGTCAGAGATGAAAGTTACAACTACTGCTTTTGTTTTTCTCTCCATTTTATTGGTGACTCTTTTTCCAACCTTTTGTTTTGAGTCTTTGTGTGTCCTTGCTTATAAGATGGATCTGGATACAGAGTGCTGATGTGTTTTGACTTTTTATTCAGTTTGTGTGTCTGTGTCTTTGATTGGGGCATTTAATCCATTTAAATTTATATTTAATATTGATATTTGTGAGTTTAATACTGTAATTTAATGCTAGCTGGCTATTTTGCCCATTAGTTGATATAGTTCTTCATTATGGAGATACCCTTTACCTTTTGGTAAGTTTTTGAGATGACTGATATTGGTTGTTCCTTTCTGTGTGTAGTGCTTCTTTCAGAAGCTCTTGTAAAGCAGGCCTGGTGTTGATGAAATCTCTGAGTGATTGCTTGTTCACGAAAAATTTTATTTTTCCTTCATTTATAAAGCTTAGTTTGGCTGAATATGAGATTCTGGGTTGAAAATTCTTTTCTTTGAGGATATTGAATATTGACCCCCACTCTCTTCTAGTTAGTAGGGTTTCTGCTGAGAGATCTGCTGTAAGTCTGATAGGCTTCCCTTTTTGGGGTAACCTGACCTTTCTCTCTAGCTGGCCTTAGAATTTTCTCCTTTATTTCAACCCTGGTGAATCTAACAATTATGTATCTTGGGGTTGCTGTAGTTGAGGAATATCTTTGTGGTGTTCTCTGTATTACCTGGAGTTGAGTATTGTTCTGCCTTACTAGGTTAGGAAAGTTTTCCTGAATAATATCCTGAAGAAAATAAAGCTTGGATTCATTCTCTTCATGACATTCAGGTACACCTATCAAATGTAAATTAGGTCTTTTCACATAGTCCCATATTTCTTGGAGACTTTGCTCATTCCTTTTTACTTTTTCTTCTCTGATCTTGTCTTCTCATTTCATTTCATTAGGTGGTCTTTGACCTCTGACATCCTTTCTTCTGTTTGATCAATTCGAGTGTTAAAACCTGTGCATACTTCGTGGAGTTCTCATATTGTATTCTTCAGTTCCATTAATTCACTTATATTCCTCTACAAATTGCCTATTCTCGTTAGAATGTCATCAAACCTTTCAAGGTTCTCAGTTTCTTTACCTTGGGCTAGAACATGTTCTTTTAACTTACAGAAGTTTCTTATTATCCACTTTCTGAAGCCTAATTCTGTTATAAGGTCACACTCATTCTCCATCAGGCCTTGTTCCCTTGTTGATGAGGAACTGTGATCCTCTGTAGACAGAGAGGCATTCTGATTTTGAGTATTGTCAGCCTTTTTATGCTGGTTTCTTCCTGTCATTGTAAATTTATCCACCTGTTGTCTTTGTAATTACCGACTTTCAAATTAGGTCTCTGAGTGGACGTCTAACTTGTTAATCCCCAGTGCTGAAATCTGAGCAACCCCCTGTGCCAGCTAAAACAGTGGCATCAAGATTCTTGGTGGTTTTCTGCCCAGGAGTCTCTGGTCTGGCTTCCCTCCTGAATCCCTTCTTCAATCAGCTGAATGGGTGACTCTGCCTTCATGGGGGCTCCAAACGTTGACCAAAAGGGGACCCAGTTCCATTTACTCTGCACCAAGAACCGCTGCACCATGGTGCCAGCAAAACCACCACGGCGGCCACAAAAGTCACGCTGGCGACCTATGGGGCTCCTCCACTGGGAATCTCCTAGTCCGTGAGCAACAAAAATTCGTCTGAAAGTGTGGCATCCTCTCGTTCTCTGCGCTTTCACTGGGAGCTATAAGCCTGAGCTGCTAGTGATTGGCCATCTTGGATCTTGCTCCCCATTATGTCTTAAAAGCTCCAGAATGATATTCTTTGACTCTGTGTTTCACATCCAGGTTATGGTGATGCAAGAAGTGGGTTCCCACAGCATTGGGCATATCCACTTCTGTGGCTCTGCAGGGTATGGCCACCACAACTGCTTTCACAGGATGACATTGAGTGCCTGTGGCTTTTTCAGGTGCATGGTGCAAACTGTCAGTGGATGTACCATTCCATGGTCTGGAGAATGATGGCCCTCTTTTCACAACTCTATTAGGCAGTGCCCAAATGGGAACTCTGTGTGTGGGCTCCAACCCCTCATTTCCCTCTACATTGCCATAGAAGAGGTTCTCTGTTAGGGCTTCACCCCTGCTACAGACTTTTGTCTGGACAGCTACGGGTTTTTATACATCCTCTGAAATCTAGATGGAGGTTCCCAGTGCTCAACTCTTGTCTTCTATGCACTCAGAGTTCCAACACCATGTGGCAGCTGCCAAGGCTTGGGGCTTGCATCCTCTGAAGCAACAGCTGAAGCTGTACTTTGGTCCCTTTTAGCCATGGCTGGAGCTGGAGCAGCTGCACTGCAGGGCCCTATGTCTGGAGGCTGCAAAGAGCAGTGGGGCTCTGGGCTGGCTCAAGAAGCCATTGTGCTCTCCTAGGCCTCTGGGCCTGTAATGGGAGGGACTACCTTGAAGATCTCTGACATGCCCTGGAGACATTTTCCCATTGTCTTGGTTGTTAATCTGCAGCTTATTGGCTTAAATTTCTCCTCAGAAAATGAGTTTTTCATTTTTACCATGTGACCAGACTGCAAATTTTCTAAAACTTTGTGCTCAGCTTCCCTTTTAAATATAAGTTACAATTTCAAACCATCTCTTAATGAACACATAAAACTGAATGCTTTCAGAATAAACCAGAATTGGCCTCTTGAATACTTTGCTGCTTGAAATTTTTTCTGCCTTATACTCTAAATCATCTCTCTCAAATTCAAATTTTCACACATCTCTAGGGCAGAGGCAAAATGCTGCCAGTCTCTTCACTAAAGCATAGCAAGAGTGACCTTTGCTACAGTTCATCTCCATTTGAGACTACCTCGGACTGGATTTCATTGTCCATATCACTTTCAGCATTTTGGTCAAAACCATTCAACAAGCCACAAGGGAATTCCAAACTTTCCCACATTTTCCCATCCTCTTCTGAGCCTTCCCAACTATTCCAACTTCTGCCCATTACTGGTTTCAAAGTTAGTTCCCCATTTTCAGTATCTTTATAGCAGTACACGACTCCAAGTACCAGTTCTATGTATTAGTTCAATTTTACACTACTATAAAGGTACTACCTGAGACTGGGTAATTTATAAACAAAAGAGGTTTTTTTTTTTTTTTTTTTTTAAGTTTTGAGATTTTTTTATTTGAAGGTAATCTTAATGCTATTAAATTCACAATTGTTATTTAAATACCCAATCCTATTTACCTAAAACACACATTGCAAACACACATATATCTATTCTCTTCACATGTCAGTGCCCATTCATATTATGGTTTGGAAATGGGGAGAATAGATTCCCCTTAAACTGCAAGTCAACAGGTGTTTCTTTACAGTTAACTTTAGCAAAATTCATACAAAATCGTAATTAACAATGATCTTCTTTACTTGTTAACTCACAAGGGAACACCTTCAAAACTGCATTTTGTTAAAGTTTCTGTACTAAAATGTAGAAAAACTGAACTACACAAATATTAAAAAGTTAAAAATTCCTTAATTTTTTATTCCTGGTACCACTACCACAATTTACAGGGCAATATACCTGATGTAATGAAAAGAAAAAGAAAAAGACAAAGCTACAACAGATAAAAGAACTCAGGAATGTACATCTAATTGACACTACATCGCATTAATCAATAGCTGCACTTTTTGCAAACTGTGGCTATGACAGTCCTGAACAAGAAGGGTTTCCTGTTTAAGCTGCAGTAACTTTTCTGACTATGGATCATCGCTCCTTCTGTGGCAGAGTTTTACAGTTCCGCTAATGCATTTGGGACGACTGTCTCAAAGTAACCTGCAGCTTTCCCGACAACTCCTCGCTCTCTCTCCTGCTAAGAACTGTAGCCCTTTTCTGCTGCTTTTAGAATTTTCTGCTACCATATCCACCACTTCCACCACCAGATCCATAACCACCACCATAGGGACTGCCGGAGCTTCTTCCACCGAAACTGCCCCCTTTCATGGGTCCATAATTTGATTGCTGTTGTCCACTATAATTTCCAAAATCATTATAGTTCCCACCACCACCATAGTTACCACCACCAAAATTTCCTCCTTCATTGTAACCATCATATCCTCCACCACCGCCACCATATCCACCACCTTGGTTTCCATATCCTGGTCCACCACCACCATAGCCCCCTCTATTACTATAACCAGGACCACCGCCATAGTTGCCACCATCACCAAATCCATTATATCCACCATCACCTCCTCGATAACTACCTCTGCTGCCACCACCTCCACCACCATAACCTCCTCTTCCACCGAAGTTTCCACCACAGCCAAAATTACCTCCACCACCTCCAAAGTTTCGTCCGTGACCCATAAAATTGCCAGATCCACCTCCACAACCTCTCTGTGATCCAGCAGACTGCATCTCTTGTTTAGGAAGGGCCTTTTTCACTTCACAATTATGCCCATTAATAATGTGGTATTTCTGAACAACAATTTTATCAACTGTATCATGATCATCGAAAGTTACAAAAGCAAATCCTCTCATTTTTCCACTCTGCCTGTCTTTGAAATAAGATTTGAAATAAGATTTGGGTGGGGACCCAGAGCCAAATCATATCAGGCACTTTGATTTTATACTTCTTTCCTTTTGCCTGGAACTCAGACAATGTGTGGAGCTTTCTTCTTCTGACCTGTGGTAGCAAACATATATTAAGGATCACTAATCATAAAGATGGCATGAACTTGAGTTTCTGATGGCATTATGGGGCTTCTTTCTCAGCTCTGCACTAGCTACTGACTTTTCATACATCAGAAAATAAGACCCCAAATGTGTGACTAGCAGGTGAATTCAATTCCTAACTTATAAGAGTTGTGGGGTCAGGGAAGTGTTGGTGGGGCCTTTCTAAAGCCACAACACAATTGTGAGTGAATCTCAATTACTAACTAACAGTACCTCTCAATTGTGAGTGTGCTTATGAATTATAAGGGGACCTTGTTAAATTCTGATTCAGTAGGTGTGGAATGGTGTCTGAGACACTGCATTTCTAATCCTTCTCACGTGATGCTTTTGCTGCTGGTTTGTGAAACCACTTTGGGTAGTAGCAAGGATCTGGAACACCACTTTTCTTCCAGCTGAGCCACCAAACGTTATCAATTTCCAAACGTCAAAATCGATAGGTAAATCGAAAATTTACCCTATTTTCTTGTACCTCAGCTACTTGAAACTTACCTGCTTTGTTTAGTGCATCATTCTATCATATGTAATTGTCATAATACAAAGCAAAAAGAGTTGAAAGAGTAGATCTATCTACTAAAATAAGAACATTTCCAACACCAACTGCAAATCCATAAGGGCCAATTTCAAAGCAAAACAATAGGTAGGTCGCATTCCAAGGTTAATGGAAAGGAAGCTTAAGGGCCTCTCTGTAATGTAATTCTCTGCATAGCCTCATTGTGCACATCCTCTTGAGACAGTAATAGAGGTCTTGGAGCTAGGGTTTTTACTGCATGTCTGCCTTGGGAATATTCAACTTTCCTTTGCTCAATTATATTGAGGACATGTTCTGAATGAGCAGCTAAAGTAATTTCCACTTTTATGATTGCTGGCTACTTATTTGAATATTCCTGTTGCTCTTCTGGAAGTAATGGGCATTTTGAGAGAAAGTAGAGACCAATATCTGCCAGAAACATTAGACAATTAGGAAGAAACAGGTGTCCAAGGAAATCCAGGATTCTGATCTTCCGATAGTTCCTTTCTGTGTCTAAAATGAATGTTACATCCCAGCTGGTCTTACCTGCTCACCATTACCTCAACACAAATGACCCATTCCCACCTTCGTACCTTAGCTCATACTGTTTATTCACCCTCACCCACTAACTTCCCCTACCAGTAATCATTGCTATTCAGTGTGGATACTTATTATATCAGGCTCTGTGTTATATGCAGAATGCAATTTAATTCTCAAGCAATTTTACAAAATAGGTATTATGGACTGCATTTTTGTGTCCCTCCTCAATTCATATGTTGAAACACTAACCCCCAATGGGATGCTGTTAGGAGTTGGAGTCTTTTGGAGGTGATTAGGGTTAGATGAGATCATGAGGGTGGTGTCCCAACTTTTACTCCCTAGGCTTGAGTAGCAATTAGAGACTTAGCAACAAGTAAATCCACAACATATTTCAAATGCTGCAATCCTTTGTATCACTAGGACCTCCTTTGATTTTTCATGAAAGTCATCATTCTATGCCAGTTAATACAAGCACTGAAGGTTGAAATGGAGAAAAATATGATAAAATGTATGTTTTAGATTTGTCTCAGATAGATACTTATCTCCAAAAGCTATGTTTTCACTTCCTTTCTTCCTTGAAAGCCAAATGTTTCCATTATCTTTGATATGTTCAGAGCCAGTAGAATTATGTTTGGTTCTCTAGCCAATGTTTGGACATAAAACTTTCAGATAAAGTTTCTGTAGTGGTAAAGGAAGATATGGAAGCTCTGAAACTGTGCAACATTTTCAAATGAATGAGTCTGACTAATGAAATTTGGTGCATAGTTTAAACAACATTAGTGATAGATGTTGTTTATCACTAATAGTGGGAGGGGATATTAGATATATTTTTGCTAAGTAACAAAACTAATGATAATTTTGTAATGCAAGAGATGTAAACATAAGGAAAAGGAGAGTATTCTTTGTCTTAATTTTTTGCTTCAAATAAAAAACTATTTTGTCATTTTCCCTAAAATATAAACAGTCATTTTTGTTCTAATTGGATAAACAACTTTATGGAAATTTATATAAAAGCACAGAAATATAAATTTCACTTCTTAAAAATAACATCTTTGTAAGTTTATTATTACTAAGCTTATGATCATAATGGAAATGTCAAAGGATGCAGACTGACAAAAAAACTACATTTTGATGCATATACTTTCAGATGTTTCACGGTAATCCTATTTTGTTGCTGATTTGTTTTGCTTTTACATGTTGATCTTTTGTAGTTCATAATGTGATGCTTGGATGTTCCCATTCATGTGTGAGATGTGTCTCACTCAAATGTTGGCACATTACCCATGTGGAAAAAAAAAGTCTTTTACATGTAAATAAATACCTATCTACAACATACTTTTAATTGACCTTACAGCATTTCATTATGTGGCTGTGCCTTAACTTATCACTTTTGCTGGATGTTTAGGTTGCTAGCAATTTTGCTGTTGTATACTGTGCTATAATGACAATTAGGATAGCCTATTTATTCACTTTTTTTTTTGAGATGGAGTTTCGCTCTTGTACCCAAGCTGGAGTGCAATGGCACAATCTCGGCTCACTGCAACCTCCGCCTCCTGGGTTCAGACAATTCTCCTGCTTCAGCCTCCCAAGTAGCTAGGACTACAGGCATGCACCACCAAGCCCAGCTAATTTTTTGTATTTTTAGTAGAGACGGGGTTTCACCATGTTGACCAGGATGACCTCGATCTCTTGACCTTGTGATCCACCCACCTCGGCCTCCCAAAGTGCTGTTATTCACATTTTAAAATTTATTTTTATGTAGCTACATCTAACATTATTTCCTTAGTATGTTGATATAGAGTTACTGGGTTGAAGATAAGAAGCACCATTAGAATTATTTTCTTAAAAAATAGATGTGGACCGTGGAATACCATACACCCATACAAAAGGATGAGTTCTTGTCCTTTTCAGGGACATAGATGTAACTGGAAACCATAATTCTTAGTAAACTAACACAGGAATAGAAAACCAAACACTGCATTTTCTTACTCATAAGTGGGAGCTGAACAATGAGAACACATGGACACAGGGAGGGGAACATCACACACTGGGGCCTGTTGGGGGGTGAAGGGCTGGGGAGGTATAGCATTAGGAGAAATACCTAATGTAGATGACGGTTGAAGGGGGCAGCAAACCACCTTGGCATGTGTATACCTATGTAACAAGCCTGCACATTCTCCACATGTACCCCAGAACTTAAAGTATAATTTTAAAAAAGTAATATCTACATTAAACTGTTTGTGACTTCATTGGGGGCAGGATTACTATCTTATTGATCTCTGTATTTTTAATCTGATTAAAAATACTTGATATAAGATGGACATTCAATAACAATTTATTGAATAAATGAATCTAATAAAATACATTACTCCCAAAAAATAGGTATGGAATTTTAGATCAAAAGTGAAGTACGTTATCCTGACTTCTGAAATATATCACCAATTACTCTCCCAAAACTTTTTTGGCTCATGAATGCTTTCATTTTTCTGAAAGCTTACCTACTCTAGGTATTATTTTTGCACAACGAAACCAAGATTTTTAAAAACCAGATTCTTTAAATGGAGGTTAGAATGACAGAAAAAGTAAATAATGATAAATTATAATGACAAAAAATTTGTAATCTGAGCTACTTTAGACTGTTTATACCTTCATTCAAATCCAACTCTCACTATATGTCGTTAAATCAAGCCAGGATCTGATTATATGTATGATTTTGTCAGATTGTAGCATTTAGAAAAATGTTTGGTTGCCTTGTTATTTTGAAATATCATGGTGAATACCATGAAGCAATGAATTTTGCTTCCACATCTTCTATTTATATATTTTCCCAATGTGACAGGTAAAATATTGGAATTTAATAATTTCTCATTGTCTTGCCTTTTGAGTTAGGAATAAGTCGTTTTAAAAATTGTTCAGCAAATTGGGTCTTTTAATGTAAAGTATGATGTATTTATGACCTACTGCTACTTAATAATTACCACAAATTTGGCTACTTAAACCATTCAGATTTATTATCTCACAGTTCTTTAACTCAGAATTCTGGTGAGCTCAGCTGTTTTCTCTGGCCTGAATTTTATAGGCTGAAATCAAGTTGTTGGCAAGCTGGATTAGTATTTGAAGGTTCTGAGGGAGAATCTTCTTCCAACCCCATTCAGGTTGGCCAGGTATTTGGGCTTCAGAGGTGAAGTCTGTTTCCTTGCAGGCTGGGAATGAACAGCCTCTCTCAGGGATGTAAGGTTGCCTGAATTCCTCCATCTCCAGATGAGCTAGTGTGCTTTGAGTCATTCTCACACTTGGAATCTCGTTCACTTCTCCTTCTGTACTGCTTCTGCCTGAAGCTAGAGAAAGTTCTCTGCTTTTAAGGGCTTATGTGATTAGAATGTGATTACCTTGTTAATAAAAGCTACAATTCTTATTTTAAGGCCTATAACCTTAATTACATATTCCAAGACCCTTTTGCCACACAAGGTAACATATTTATTGGTCTCAGGGTTTGGGGTATGAATATTTTGGGGGGCTATTCTGCCATCCTCACTGTATAAAACCTCTGTTATGTGACCTGTCTACCACATTCATCAATTCTAAATCAGGAATATGATTATTATTATTGTCTTTTGGAGCTGAGGGAAAGACTTCACAAATATCTATTATAAGAATTACTTATTATTTATTTATAAATGAACATATCCAAATGTATTGAAAATAGAGTGAACAGTATAAAGTATTCTACATACTCATAACCTGTATGAGTCAGTTGTCACACTGCTATG